CTGCCACCCTACTACCCGCTGTTCTAAATGAACCAGAAACCCCAGGACCTGAAAGTTGAGCCCTAGTGAACGTTCTTTCAATGACCTGACTGCTACATGAACCTTAAACCACAGGTCATTCGGCTGCGGGGCTGCCCTGGGCCAAGACTCACCAATACTGAGGGTCCCCAGCTTACCAACGGATCGTGTTCTACCCTACACTTGGAAGGCCGTGATTTGAAAGGCAGAGTGCTCTTTCCCAGAGACGCCATGTATGGCCTCGAGCCAGCTCACAATCTCATGTAACCACAGTATGGCTAAACCCAGTACATTTTAGCCCCCAAAAAAGCAGAAATCAATAATGCTAGAAGACTAATCATTAAAGATGAGAGCAACAGTAAAGCTGAGTATCTGGGGCCAGCACTGTGGCACAGTAGGTTAAAGCTCCAGCCTGCGGTGCCAGCATCCCATATGGGCGCCGGTTCGAGTCCCAGCTGCTCCACTTTTAATCTAGCTCCCTGCTGATACACCTAGGAAATCAGTGGAGGATGGTCTGAGTCCTTGAGCCCTTGAACCAACACTCCTGGCTTCAGAATGGCTCAGCTCCAGCCATCGTGGCCATTTGGGGAGTGAACCAGCAGATGGAAGACCTCTGTGTGTGTGTGTGTCTGTGTGTGTGTGTGTGTCTCTACCTCCCTCTCTGTAACTCTTTCAAATAAAATAAATCTTTTTTTTTTTTAAAGCTGAAGATCTTTCATTTGTCTAGAATACTAGTGCTTGGACAAAAGCAGATCTCAGGAGAGGACGAAAAGTTCTATCCAGACGCAGGGACGGAACGTGGGCACCCGGCTGCCTGTCCATTTGCAGGATTTAACCCAATGTTACAGGTCTAATGTCTACATCTGAAAGCCTACATAAGCACCCACAGAAGGGCCACACCCGGCGTTTCTAGGAGACCATTTCATTGCCCAAGCAGGGACCTGGCTTCAGCGTTCCTCTCCTCCTGCATGAACACCGCCATTAATAACAAGTCTACTCCTGGCCCAAAGAACCACCGAGTCCAGAACCGCTGGTGCCTCTTTCACGTTGATTTCTGAACTCTGGGATCCCCACACTGCCGGCATGACTTTGGGTTTGACACCCCTGCTCCCCCATCACCAAGACTTGAATGTGCTGTTGCCACCCCTCCATACACACACACACACACACACACACACACACACCTACCTCCACCGGCGACCTGCACTCTCCCTCCACATCCGACTCCCAAGTGCCCTGCACTGCACCTGCGGAGAAACATTCAGAGTCACTTATTTTCGTCTAATGCTAAGGATCAAACACACATGTGGTCCGGCAGTATGAAAAAGACAGGAGAAAAGTGGAAAGGAGTAAATGGACAGAAGATGGCTTGTGAGGCACTGGAAGAGAACTCTGCAAGATCTAACCATTAGGTGGCACCACTGGCTAAGGCAGTTCCCTTGTCCCCAGAAGGCTGATGAGAAAGGGGAAAAACAAGCAGTGGTCAGGGTGTGGGTGGAGGCTGGCGGGGGCCTTTGCAGGATGAGTAATTTAACTGTGCACCCCAGACTATCTCACATAAGTGCCACAATTCATTCCTTCACATTACAAGAGTATCATAGTTGTACTTCTCCAAATTGCTTTACATTCCTTTCTTATTTTCTATTGATACATGCTTTTTAAAAACTAATCTCTAAAAGTTATATTTATTCTGAGTACAAATCTTTTTTCAGTTACATACATGCAAATACAGCGCCCATTCCACGATTTGATTTTTTTTAATAGAATGACGTTTTTAAAAATATTTATTTATTTGAAAGGCACTGTGATAAAGAGAGGAGAGGGAGGGACATAGAAAGAGAGATCTTCCATCTACTGGTTCACCCCCAAATGGCCACAACAGCTGGAGCTGGGCAAGGCTGAAGCCTGGAGCCTGGAACTCCCTCTGGGTCTCCCACATGAATGGCCGGGACCCAAATATTTGAGCAGTCTTCTGCTGCTTTCCCAGGTGCATTAGCAGGGAGCCAGATTGGAAGTGGAGCAGCCAGGACTTGAACCAGCACCCATATGGGATGCAAGTGTTGCAGGTGGCAGCTTAACCCACTGTGCCAAAACACTGGCACCTTAACTTTTCTCCAATGGCAACTTTCTACTATACAGAAATTTTCAGTTTTAAAGTAGATCAAGTTATTAATTGCTTTCCTTCACTGTTTGTTCTTTTTGAAACTTGCTTAATATATTTTTCCCATATTGAGATCACAGAATATTCTTCTAAATCTTTTAGACTTGCTTTTTTAAAAATTACTTGAGAGGTGGGGGAGTGGAGAGAGGTTCTAGTCACTGGCTCACACCCTATATGCTTGCAGTATCTGGGGCTGGGCCAGGTCTCCCACATGGGTGTCAGGGAGCCATCACCTGCTGCCTGCCGCCCGCCGGCCCCTCCCACCTTTTCCCCTGGCTCTCTGGAATTTGTTCACAGAAGGGACTGAGCAAATCCATCGAAAGCAGTGATGGGGTTAGGGAGAGGTGGACTTCTTGGGGCTTATTCTGGTAGGATTATTGTGGTGAAGCCCATCTAGTCAAGTCTGTGGACATTCGTGGGATCAGTCCTCCAGAGAAGAGCATTTCAAATCAGGAAGCTGAAACTTAAAAATGATAGCAGGCCAGAACTTTATAGGAAAGGAAATGCCCATCTCCATGTGGAACATGGAACTTAGTTTATTTAAAATGTGTATTTGTTTATTTTTACTTATTTACAATGCAGAGAGAGAGAATGAGAATCAGAGAAACAGAGAGAGAGATTTCCCATCTGCTGGTTCACTCCCCAAATCCTGGCAACAGCCAGGGCTGGGCTAAGCCAAAGCCAGGAGGCCAGAACTCCATCTGGGGTCTCTCACATGGATGGCAGGGATCAAAGAACTTGAGCCATCATCTGCTGCCTGCCAGGAAGCAGCAGCAGGGAGATAAAATGGAAACAGGGTAGCTAGGATCAGAACCAGCACTCTGATAAGGGGTGCAGGTGTCACAAGCAGTGGCTCAACTCATGGCGCCACAATCCACTCACTTTATTTTTTATTTGGCTTATTTGGAAGAATCCAGACATACTTAAGGACATCTTGGAGTGGAGAGAAAAAGTGGTTTTGGGGACTGGAATTGTGGCACAGCAGGTTAAGCCGCCACCTGCAATGCTGGCATTCCATATGAGTACTAGTTCAAGTCCCAGCTGCACTGTTTTCGATCCAGCTCCCTGTTAACACACCTGGGAAAGCAGTAGAAGATGGTCCAAGTGCTTGGGCCCCTCCCACCCATGTGGGAAACTCAATGGAGTTCTTGGCTCCTGGCTTCAGCTTGGCCCAGCCTTGGTCATTTCAGCTCTTTGGGAAGTGGACCAGCAGATGGAAGATCTCTCTATCCCTATCTCTGTCTCTTTCTCTCTCTGTAACTCTCTCTCTGTAACTGTGCCTCTCAAATACACAAATGCTTTAAAGAACAAAAAAAGGCCTTTGCCGCATAAAAACAGGCCAGAAGCTATGCAGAGCTGCAACATGTCCAAATGAACTCACTGCTTTGAAGCCTACTAAAGTCCATTCCCCCAGTGCCCTGGCTCCTTCCACATCCTCATCCCCCTCCCCCACCCCACCCCCACCCCCGCCTTCTTCCCAAGCACCACCAACCACGCCCTTGTCAGCAGCAGGTTGGGGCTGATCTGACTTGAGCCAAGCTCCCAGCCCCTCTCCCGCCCCTGAAGCTGAAAGGCAAGTGTGGTCATGTGCTGAGAACCCTGCTGTGGCTTCCCACTCTCCTGAGGCTACCATCCAAGCTGTTCACTGTAGGTGACATGGATCTTCCTGACCCAGCTTGGTGACCTTGATCTAGACAGGTTAAGAGCCCAGACCACACAGTCTTAATGCCGATAATCTAAACACTCAGCTCATGGGGTTGTTGGGAACACTGAATAAGTTAACCCATGCAAAGTACTTGGAACAGCATCTGCTACACAGAAAGCTTCTACCTGAGTAAGTATTGATTTTATGTGCTCCACTGCACTGGGCTTTCTCCAACCTGCAGGCCTTGGCATCCCCTCTTCCCTCTACCTAGAATAATCTTCCCAACACCCTGCTCATGCCACAGGGCAGTCTTCAGTTGCAGGCAACAACAGCAACATCACCCAGAAACTAGTTGGACAAATTCTCAGATCCCAGCTCAGACCTACTGTATCATAAACTCAGGCAGGGGCTGGTGCAGGACGGGGACGGGGTGGGGGTTAGGGGTTCTAATCCAGCAATCTGAGATTAACAAGAACTCTACAGGCTTCTGATTTACAGCCAAGGCTGAAAAAAAAAAAAAAACAAAAAACAAAAAAACACGAAGATAAATTGCAAGTGGATGTGCATTTGTCTATAACCACTCTGGGTCTAAGTTCCCCAATGGTAGAAACACTTCCATCTTTCTTGGTCAGTTAATATCCAACTAATAGCCAAACACCGACCATCAGGAACTGGAATGGAGTAGGCCATATCTTGTCGGTGAGATGAACTAATTGTATTCCTTCATTAGCTATGTCCCGAAATCAACACCCAGGTGTTTCCAAAGGTTTGCCCAAGTGTTTCAGCTTGCTCCTGACCTTAGGCCTCAGTGTGACGACTGGGGCGCCGCCTGAAGGCAGGCAAGTTGTAAATGACTCCCCTGGGATCAAGCACCGGGAATGCTATAAGGCGCTAGGATCTCTCAGCAGGTGCACAGCCACCTGCTCTCCCGTCTCAGAACAAACACTTGTGCAAACACCCTTCTCTCCTCCTCCCTCTCCCGTTTTCTCCCATTCCTTCTTTCCTCACCGCCTGTACTCCCCATGGTTTTCCCTACCCACCCTGGCCCGGTCTCCATCCCTGTCACCCAGGAATGCCGGCTGGCCCGGGCGAAGCGCACAGGGCAGACGCAGGACGTGGTACAGCGACTCTGGCTGGCGGATTCGCTCCACCCCCGGAGGCCTGAGGCCCCTAGGTCGCTCCCAGCTGCGGCCATCTGCTCGCGCGCCCCTCCGCTGCTCCCGAGGCAGCCCGGCGGCACGCAGAGCGCCAAGGGACAGTCGCCGCACGTTCGCCCCCGCGCCTCGCGCTTCCCCGGGCGCCCCCTGGCGCGCACTCCGCGAGACCCGCTGCGGTCCGGGCCGAACGCGGGTGGGCGGGCGCAGGCGCCGGCGAAAGAGGGCGTCCGGCGAAGTCATGGCCGCGGGGGCGGTGGCGCGCAAGGGGGCGCCGGTGCTGGAAGCACCCCCGCAGCCCGAGCAGGTACGGCGCGGGCGCACGCTGCAGGACAGCCGGCCGGGGCCCGAGGCTCAGCCCGGTGCGCACCGGCCTGGTGGGCGGTAGGGGCGGGGGCGGGAACCCGTGGCCTCCTAGCAGGTGCTCTCATGGGCACCGCCACTGCGCCCCTCTCCCTGCCCTCCCTTGCACCCTCGCTCGTTTCTTCCTTCGCCCCATCCACCCTCTTTCTCTTGCGGAATCATCCGTAGCCATTCCCCGCCTCCACACTGGGCAGGAGCCCTGAGGGCCCTGGGTCGGGGCCTGGGCGTTGCCGGAGGAAACGGGTTTCTGCACTGCGTGCGTCTCTGCGTCAACCGCAGGGCGAGTCTCGACGCAGACTGCGGGCTGCGCCCGGGGTCTCTGGGTCATCAGCAGGAGCTGCTGCTGGCGCTCCGGCGCTGGAGCTGACGGAATCCCATACTCACTGTATTTTTCATCCATAGGACGATGCGTTAGGAGGGTGGGTAGGCTCTGTGCATGTGGTGAGGAGAGGGAATTAGAAATCCAAATGGTGGGAACAGCAGTACTGAATTTCTTGGAGGTGAAAAAAAAATGGGATGGATGGCAACAGGGGAAAAGGTAGAGGGGTGAAAACCCCAGGGTTCATGAAAGTTTGCAGAGAGAAACAAGGGGAACACTAGGCTGGCGGGGGCCGAGGGGGGAAGGTTGTGGGTTTTCATGCCACAACTGTCAGAGCTGAGCCAGATGGGTGCCAGGAGCTGGGTGGCAGCACCCGTGTACTTGCGCCATCACCTGCTCCCTCCCAGCGTGCACGTTAGCAGGGAGCTGGATCACAAGCAGAGGAGCAGGAGTCGAGCCAGGCACGCCCATACGGGATGCAGGGTTCCCAAGCAGCGTCTTCACCCCTGTGCCAAACACCAACCTGTGCGTGTGGATTTTCCTTCCTGAACGCTATGCTGGATTCAAACGCAGATCACGGGGGCTGTGAATTGAGAACTCCGCATGCCAGCAAGGGCAGAGGACCTGGTAGGGCCCATTGTAGCTGCTGATATTTGCTCTTCCTTAAGGTTGGCGTCACCGTCTTGCCTGCTGCCTGCAGGAGGCATGGCTCCTCTGTTCACTCTGCCCTAGGAGGGCTGCACAGCTCTCCCGCTTAATCCCCTGTGGCGGGATACTGTGGTCCAGGGAGCAGCTAGAAGGCGTCGCTGGGGAGCCTGCTACTAGTGCAGCCTCAGCCCCCACCCTAGCTAGACCTTCTGAGCCACAACCTGCGTTTGCACCACTCGCCAGGGAGATGCAGTCACACACGGAAGTCGGACAAGTGCAGGTTTCAGCCGCACTTTTTTTTATGATTTATTTATTATTTGAAAGTCGGAGTTACACAGAGAGAGGAGGAGCAGAGGCAGAGAGAAAGAGAAAGGTCTTCCATCTGCTAGTTCACTCCCCAGGTGGTCACAATGGCCAGAGCTGCACCAATCCCAAGCCAGGAGCCAGGAGCCAGGAGCTTCCTCCAAGTCTCCCATGTGGGTGCAGGGGCCCAAGGACTTGGGCCATCTTCTACTGCTTTCCCAAGCCATAGCAGAGAGCTGGATCGGAAGAGGAGCAGCCAGGACTAGATTGGCGCCCATATGGGATGCCGGCACTTCAGGCCAGGGCGTTAACCCACTGTGCCACAGCCCCGACCCCAGCCACACTTTTTTATTTTTATTTTACTTATGTATTTATTTTTTGACAAGCAGAGTTAGACAGTGAGAGAGACAGAGAGAAAGGTCTTCCTTCTGTTGGTTCACCCCCCAAACGACTGCTATGGCCGGCACGCTGCGCCGATCCAAAGCCAGGAGCCAGGCACTCCCTCCTGGTCTCCTATGCGGGTGCAGAACCCAAGCACTTGGGCCATCCTCCACTGCACTCCCGGGCCACAGCAGAGAGCTGGACTGGAAGAGGAGCAATTGGGACAGTCCCCAACCGGGACTAGAACCCGGTGTGCCGGCACCGCAGGCGGAGGATTAGCCTAGTGAGCCGCGGCACCAGCCCCCAGCCACACCGTATAAGAACCTGGGATAATAAAAGGAAAATAGACAGTTACTGAGCAGCCGGTGTATGCTGGTACCCCATACGCTCAGCCTCACCCCGACCACCAGCAGCAGCCTATTTATGTTTCCCATTGACTGAGAAACTCTAACAGCATGGAAGCCGCGAAGAGCTGGTACATGTTCCACTTTGCTAGCTGCTGGATTCCCAGCGCCCAGAACCCAGCCTGGCAAGGGGCAAGGCTCCAGTCAATAGTAAGTAAACGAATGAATGAATTAATGAATAAACAGCCACATGTAACCTCAGGACCTGGATCCCAGCTCCCAGAGTACCTTCCTGGGCAGACAGCACCTTCCTCTTCCCCCTCGCACCCCTGCAGCTGCAGCCCCTGGGGCCCCTTAGGTACTGGGAGACTCCTTGGGTTGGAGTGCAGAGAGCAGACAGCACAAGGATTTGGGAGTTACCTCTTCTGCCTGCCTGAGGCCTGCGTTCCAGGTTCTGGTTTCTGTTTTCTGACCTGGGAGGGGCTGTCCCCTCCACCCACAGGGTGCAGCCTTGGCCTGAGGCGTGAATCCCTCGTTGGTGAATACAGCCCTGGGAGCCCAACTCCTCACCTCCCGCTCACATGTGGCCCAGCGGCATGGGTAGTGTCTGAGCTAACTGTGGTTCTGCTACTTGTTGTTGATTTTTGTGTGACTGCTGCGTTTGTGAGGCAAGAGCTGAGAGGGGTGCAGTCGGTTTGGAGCCGGCAGTACAGGTGTGAAGTGAGGAGGGCCAGTGGCAGGAGAGGGGCATTCTTCCCGCGTTCTGACTGAGAGCATGATGTGCCAGGTGGGCAGCCTCCTGCCCAGGATGCCCAGGCCAAGCCCAGGTGCAAGTCCACGTGCCACATGTCTATTTATGAGAAACGAGTATGTTCTCACGGCCCTGCCTGCAGGTACGCCCATGACCCACGCAGCCTGCCAGACCTGGGGCTGCCTTCTCCCTACCTACACTGCTGGCTGGGACCGGGTGGAAGTCTGAACGTGCCTTCATTAGTTTTCTAGACAAGCCATAGCAATGGAAGTTTGTTCTTTCACAGTTCAGGATAACAGGTGTCAGCAGGGCCATCTCCCCCCCCCCACCCCCCACCAGAAACTCCAGGAGGGAACCCTTACTTGTCTCTTCCGGGTCCTGGTGACTCCAGCTGTTACTAGCTTGTGGCTGCATCACTGCATTCCCTGTGTGGGTCTAGACAAGAGCTTTTGTTTTGTGTCACTCCTCTGTGCCTGTGTCTCCAGGAATCAACTCTCCTTTTCCTTTCTCTTTTAAAGGCACCAGTCATTGGATTTAGGACCGACCCTAAAGATTCTAATTACATCTGCAAAGACCTTATTTTCACATATGGTCACATTCACAAATAGTGGGTGTTAAGATGCAAATATATCTGTTAGGGGTGGGCACAATTCAACCCTCCACAGTACTTAAAGCAGGGATGAAGACTGGTTTATATTTTATTTACTGTATTTTGCTGAAAGACCTTGTTTTTGCTAGGGTATTTGTTTTAGCATAGTTATTAGTAGTGAGATGGAGCATCTTTCCATAAATTTTCTGGTCATTTGTATTTCTTTTGTGAATTTCTTGTTCATGTAGTTTGCCCTTTTAGGGTGTTTGTCTCTCTTTTTTTATTTGTAAAACTCTGTTTAAGCTTAGCTTATTTACTTTCTGCCTCTCACATATGTTGACTTTTCCCCAATCGGTCTTTCAAATATAGGTGATTATAATTTATGTTCTCAAAATCTGTTATTTTTTAAAAATTTTATGATTTGTGGGCTCCACAATATATTTACAAATGCTCTCTTCAGAGACAGGCATTTGACTTAACTCCTGAGACACTGGTATCCCAGTTTGGAGTGCCTGGCTTTGGTTCCTAATTCCAGCTTCCTGTTAATGTGCACCCTAGGAGGCAACAAGTGATTGTTCAAGTACCTGAGCCCCTGCCACCGGGTAGGAGACCTAGATGGAGTTCCTAGATATCTTCAGACTGGCCCAGCCCCAGCTGTTCTGGATATTTGGGAAGTGAACCATTGGATGGGAGAACTGTCTCTCTACCTTTCAAATAAATAAATAAATAGCCTTGTCCATGCACAATTATAGAAATGTTTACCAATATTTTCTTCTAGCACTTTGAAGATTTCTTTTTCTTCCATTTAAATATTTGCTCCATCTGGGATATATTTTATAGCACAGAATTAGGTATGGAGCCAGCTTTAGTTTTTTCCAAATGCCAAGCCAGTTGTCTCAGCACCATTTATTGAACACTCCATTTTTTCCTCACTGATTCAAAATTATTCACCAATCATATGCACTTGGATCTATTTGTGGACTCTGTTCCTTCATCTCTCTTCCTGTTCCTAGACCAGTAGCACTTGCAGTTCATCTCTGTGCTTAGTTGGTGACTTCAGAGTCTGGTAGGCCACATCCCAACTCTTTACTCTTCTTCTGAATTCTCCTGGTGATCCTTAGCCTTCCTGGAGAATTTTGGAATCATTATAATTCCCAAAGTAAATTTCCTTAAGATCTTGAATGGGCTTGCAAAGTAGTATATTATTATACTGCCAAAAATTAGATCGCCCCTCCTAAGGAAAAAAAAAATGTGATACTACTGGCGACTGTTAGAAAGGAGATGTCAGGGCTGGCATTGTATAGCAGGTCAAGCCTCAACTTGCATTACTGGCATCCCATATTGGAGCATGGGTTCGAACCCCTGCGGCTCTCCTTCCAATCCAGCTCCCTACGAATGTGCCTGGAAAGACACTGATGATGGCCCAAGTACTTGGGTTCCGCCATCCATGTAGGAGACTTGGGATGAAGTTCTGGACTCCTGGTGAAAGTGCAGTCCTGCCTGGCTGTTGTGGTCATTTTGGGAGTGAATCAACAGGTGGAATATTTCTCCTCACCTGTTCCACTCTTTCATTTAAATAAATAAATATTTTTTAAAAAGAGAAATGTCTAAGAGTGTCCTCTCCACTTCCTAATTCGCTTTTTCTCCAAGAAATAAGAGTTGCAGTGTCACTTGAGTTAAGGGAGTTCCCATTTGTATTGAACAGAAATCTTTTCAAGTACAGTTTCCACCCTGAACACTTTCCTGGTCTTCAAAAGAACAATTTATCACCTTTTATTAAAAATGACAGGGCCGAGGCCGGCACTGTTGCACAGTAGGTTAATCCTCTGCCTGCAGCGCCAGGGTCTCATATGGGCGCCGGTTCTAGTCCCAGCTGCTCCTCTTCCATTCCAGCTCTCTTCTGTGGCCTGGGATAGCAGCAGAAGATGGCCCAAGTCTTTGGGCCTCTGCTCCCACATGGGAGACCCAGAAGAAGCTCCTGGCTCCTGGCTCAGATCGGCACAGTTCCAGCTGTTGTGGCCATCTGGGGAGTGAATCAGCGGATGGAAGACACTCTCTCTCTCTCTCTCTCTCTCTCTCTCTCTCTCTCTGTGTGTGTGTGTGTGTAACTCTGATTTTCAAAAAAAAAAAAAAAAGAATCTTTAAAAAAAATGACATAGAATCTGGTAGGTAGTTGGAGATAGTTCTGCTCAAGTCTACTATTCATAAAAGCAAATGGAACTTTTCTATCAACATAACCAAAAATGCACCTCCCTATTTTACTCTGGTTTTTATCATTAAAAATATTTATTTATCTTGTTTTTTGAAAAGCAGAGAGAGAGAGAGAGATCTTCCATTTGGTGGTTCATTCCACAAATGCCTACAACAGCCAGGGTTGGGCCAGTCTGAAGCCAGGAGCCAGGAGCTCAGTCCAGATCTACTATGTGATTGGCAAAGACCCAATTACTTGAGCCACCTCTTGCTGCCTCTCAGGATATGCATTCACAGGTAGCTGGAGTAAGAACAGGGTTGGGACTCAAGCCAAGGCTCTCCAATACGAGATGCAGTGTCCCAAAGCTGTGTCAAATGGTTGGCCCTTAAACTGGTTTCAAAATCCAGCACTGTGAACATGATGCTTTCAAACAGCAAAAAGAAGGCTATAACCTTTATTAAGCTAGTTAGCACCTGGATTAAGCACTTTGCTACAAAACTCTCCTACTGTCTCTTGTTGATGCTCAGTCCTCCAATGCAGTAGCAAAGAGCTGCTAACAGATCCCTCTGGTTTCCAGCGAGGAAACAGAGATGAAGACAGGTTAGTGATATGTCCAAGGTCATCAGGTAAGGAAGCAAGTCAGCTCAGTGGGCTTTGACAGAGCGTGGTGTCGGGCGACTGCTTGGCTCGGGGCTCTCAACCCACAGCAGACATCAGCAGAGAGGGAAACCTGCGTTATCTGAGGCCGGCTTTGCTCTGGAACTCAGCTGCCAGTGTCACCACTGTGCCACCCACGTCCTCTTTCCAGAAAGGACTGGCATTGTACAGATACTGCCCATGCCTCTGGGCATCTGTGTCGCCTGGAGCCGTTCCCTTTCGTATGAGAACCCCTCAAACCCCCATCAGAAAGTGCAGATTTTGCTATGGAGCCGGCGTGCCTCGAGAGAAAGGCGCTCTACCGAGCTGAGGATGATGCTTGTTTCCTTCTCTCTGTCAGAGTTCCTGACGACATTTGAAGCCAGTGCAGGGGGAGAATCTGGCTGATGTCAGGTTTGTGTAAGAGACGCGTTCTTGGCCTTCCATTCTTAGCCATCCTGGGGCATTTGCTTTCAGACAGTACATTTTACACCACAAGAGTAGAGAGTAAGCCAAAGCTGTTGATATCTGCCTTGAGGTTGTAAGATGATGCTGTAAGATGATGTCCCTGGGGCCAGTGCTGTGGAGTAGCAGGTGGAGCCAATGACTGCGGTACCTGCATCCCATATGGGTGCCGGTTAGAGTCCTGGCTGCTCCACTTCCAATCCAGCTCTCTGCTATGGCCTAGGAAAGCAGTGGAGGATGGCCTGAGTCTTTGGGTCCCTGCACCTTCATGGGAGATCTGGAAGAAGCTCTTGGCTCCTGGCTCAGGATCAGCGTAGCTCGAGCCATTGCAGCCATCTGGGGAATAAACCAGCAGATGGAAGACCTCTCTCTCTCTCTCTCTCTCTCTCTCTCTCTCTCTCTCTCTCTTTCTCTCTCTGTCTCAGCCTCTCTGTAATTCTGCCTTTCAAATAAATAAATCTTAAAAAAAGATGATGTCCTTGTGATTAGTCTTTTTTAAAAAGATTTATTTATTTTACTTGAAAGAGTTACACAGAGAGAGGAGAGGCAGAGAGAGAGAGAGAGAGGTCTTCCATCCACTTATTTATTCTCCAAATTGCCACAGCAGCCAAATCTGGTCCAATCTGGAGCCAGGAGCCAGGAGCACCCTCCAAGTCTTCCACGCAGGTGCAGGAGCCCAAGGACTTGGACCATCCTCTACTGCTTTCCCAGGCCATAGCAGAGAGCTGGATCAGAAGTGGAGCAGCCTGGACTCGAACTGGTACCCATATGGGATGCAGGCACTGCAGGTGGTGGCTTTACCCACTACGCCACAGCACCAGCTCCTCTGTGATGAGTCTTAAAGGCTTCAGATGACCACATGCAATGGACTGGCAGTCATTGAGGGAAAGGAGCACAGAGTGGACTCTGTGCTGGGGTTGGCTTGTGCCTTCCAGCTCAAGCTGTGAGGCCCTGAGGCCAGCTGACTGCATTCCCTGGGTTGGTAATGATGATTCCTTCACAGAAGTGCACAAGGCTTTAAAGAAATAGAGCCTCTGGTCAGCTCTGTCTCTAAAACCTGGAACTTGAACTTGATATTCGAGAGAGAGAGAGACCTTCCATCCACTAGTCCACTCCCCAAATGGCTACAACATCTGGAGCTGGGCCAGGTGAAAATCAGGAGCCTGGAATTCCACCCAGGTCTCCCATGTGGGTGCAAGGACCCAAGAACTTGGGCCACCATCTGCCACCTTTCCAGGCGCGTTCACAGGGAACTGGATTGGAAGCAGAGCAGCAGGGGCTCGAACGAGCACATCTGATATGGGACGCCAGGCTTAACCCACTGCACCACAACTCCAGCCCCTTGTTTTAGTTCTGTGAGCAAATTATTTTATTAGGATTTTCATCCTAAATGATTCAGTACTGGAGAACACCACTGTTTTTCATGGTTTGGGTTTCCCCATAATGCATTAAAATACAAGCCAAGAAAATAAGGAAATTTTGATAAGAGTTTTGTTTGTTTGTTTGTTTTTCAGATCTCTCACACAAAGCTCTCTGCCGATGATGCATGGAAGTAAGTGACTAGTAATTTTTATGGCTGTTTTACCAAAAATTAGATTTCCATCATATCAGTTTGAGAAATTGAATGAATCAGCATTTGGTTTGTAAACTTACGGGGACAGAGAGCCTGGGGCAGGATAACCATGTGTATCTACAGCCCAAAGACGTGACAGAACAGAGTGCAAAGAGTTCCCGTTGTCCCTAGTGTGATCCATGCAGTCCTGCAAAGCACCACTAATCTGTCTTTCAAAACATGGCAGTGTCCAGTTACGGTTACTTTAGGCACAGGCCGCCCCCCGGTTTCCTTTAGCTGCTGCTTCCCTGTGTTCCGGGACCTACTGAGGGGCCTATGAGCACCACAGGCAATGAAATAAAAAGGAAAAGGCCCACATGTTTTACACCATAGGAATCTATTATATATGGATTCCTACTCCAAAACAGTAGATAACTGTTACATTTCTGTGTCAATTGATATGTTTAAATATACTCTGGGACCAGCACTGTGGCATAGTGGGTAAAGCCACCTCCTGCAGTGCCGGCATCCCATATGGGCACCGGTTCCAGTCCTGGCTGCTCTACTTCCAATCCAGTTCTCTGCTGTGGCCTGGGGAAGCAGTAGAAGATGGCCCTTGGGCCCCTGAACCCATGTGGGAGATATGGAAGAAGCTCGTGGCTCCTGGCTTTGGATTGGGACAGCTCTGGCCGTTGGGGAGTGAACCAGCAGATGGAAGACCTCTCTCTCTTTCTCTGCTTCTGCCTCTCTGTAACTCTGCCTTCCAAACAAACAAATAAATCATTTTTTAAAATGACAGGCATTAAAAACTTTAAAAAAAATGTAATTCCATGTAGGCTAACCCATTTGTGATGTGTTTTAATTATACATACAAGATTACTATCTTTTTTTTTTTAATTTTTTGACAGGCAGAGTGGACAGTGAGAGAGAGAGACAGAGAGAAAGGTCTTCCTTTGCCATTGGTTCACCCTCCAATGGCCGCCGCAGCCGGCGCGCTGCGGCCAGTGCACCGCGCTGATCCGATGGCAGGAGCCAGGAGCCAGGTGCTTTTCCTGGTCTCCCATGGGGTGCAGGGCCCAAGCACCTGGGCCATCCTCCACTGCACTCCCTGGCCACAGCAGAGAGCTGGCCTGGAAGAGGGGCAACCGGGACAGAATCCGGTGCCCTGACGGGGACTAGAACCCGGTGTGCCGGCGCCGCTAGGTGGAGGATTAGCCTAGTGAGCCGCGGCGCCGGCCAAAACAGATTACTATCATAAAGCACATCTTGTTTGCTAGCCCTATGCTAGACTATGAATTCACTGTTTATCAACATGTCCTAAGTGGATTGTCCATTACTTGCATAGGATATTGAATATTTATTTTGCATGTGGGGCTGTAACAGCCCTAACTAAGCTCATGTGCCATTTCCATTCTTCTTCACTTCCCATTGCTTCTGGGAAATAAATGTATTTGTTCTTAAGATAGTCTAGAAATCATTCTTTTCTCCTGTATTCACCTTCCGACAGAGACTAAAGCCCTGTGATTTGTAAAGATTTATTGATTGGTCTATTTGAAAGGCAGAGAGAGAGAGAGAGAGAGAGAGCAAGCTACCATCTGCTAGTTCAGTTTCCAAGTGCTTACAACAGCAGGGACAGGACCATGCCAAGGCCAGGAACTAGAAACTCCATCCGGGTCTCCCACGAACCCAAGGGCTTGGGCCATCATTAGCTCTCGCCCAGGTGCATAGCAGGAAGCTGGATGGGAAGCAGTGGCGGGACTCCATCACAGGCACCCAGATGTGGGATTCAGGCACCCCGCAGGGCCGTTCAATCTGCTGTGCCCCGATACCCACCCTGCCACGTGATTTTATGCAAGCCTCTTACTTGGACTTCAGCTTCCTGACTTGATAAATTAAGAGGTTTCATTCATCTATGCAGCTCCCAGCACATTCTAAGTAAGATTCCATCTCAAAGAAGCTGGACTCAAGCAGGAATATTTACTAGGCTCGGTGGGCTCATTTCTACACTTTCTCCAGCAGGGGGCACCCCTGGGATTTGGATGGGGGCCCTCTCCTGCAGCCCTGGGTACAGGAACCCAGGTCTTCCCAACACTTAACTTGAAATGACAAGGCTGAGAGGTACTGGTTTGGCTGATAGAATCGGCTTCCCCATCCCAAACCTAGGGGAAGGAAGGGACCCAAGAACAACTCTGCAGTGAGCCTACCAGCCCCTACGCTTCACATCCCCGATTATGCCCATGAGCCCAGCCTGTGCTTTTGTGCTCAGTGTGTGAGGCTTGAGGACTTTGGTGACCTCGTCTGCCTGTTGCAGTCTGCAGCAGGAGAGGATGACCAGGCTGCACCGGGGCCACGAGTCCATGCACGTGGAGATGATCTTGATCTTCCTCTGCGCCCTGGTGGTCGCCCAGATAGTGCTGGTGCAGTGGAGACAGAGGCACAGCCGCTCCTACAACGTGAGTCACCTCGGGCTGCTGGGAGCTGCCGGCGGGTGCCAGCTGGACTGTCCTCTCACTGCCACCTGCCCCTGCTGTCACCGCTGTGGGGAAGCTGCTTTGGTTTAAGTCAGTGGTTCTCAACCAGGTGCAATTGTGACCCCGGGAGACTTTTTTTTTAAGATTTTTATATTTCTATGTTTTTTTTGAAAGTCAGAGTGACAAAGACAGGGAGAGAGAGAGAAAGACATCTGTCATCCACTGGTTTACTCCCCCAAATGTCTGCAATGGGCCAAAGCCAGGAGCCAGGAATACCATCCGGGTCTCCCACACGGGTGGCAGGGACCCAAGTATTTGAGCCATCATCTGCTGCCTCCCAGGGTATGCATTAGTGTATCCTGGACAGCAACAGTTATCGGCACCAAAATGTCAATCGTGCTGAAGGTGAGAAAGCCTGACTTAAAGAAACCAGTTTTCCTTTTGTGCATGAACTGCCAGGGTCCGGGGAAGGGAGGACTGGGAGGAGTGGGAATGGAAGTTTGGGGCTCCCAACACTGTTTCATTAGCAGTCGGGTGCCTTGGCAGTACTGCTTTGCATGTCCATGGAAACGCACTCCTGCAAACCCTGTGCTGACCTCATGTAGTGAATGAATGAGACCAGAACCACACCTCACTAAGTTTTCCACTCTCGTATCAAAGAAAACATCTTCAAAGATCTATGAACTGTGGTTTCCTTATCTGCAAAATGGAAATGCCTAAGATCGATTTTTAAAAAGATTTTATTTACTTATTTGAGAGGCAGAGTTACAGAGAGACAGGGAGAGACAGAAGTCGTCCATCCACTGATTCACTCCCCAAATGGCTGCTATGGCCAGAGCTAGGCTGATCCAAAGCCAGGAGCCAGGAGCTTCTTCCAGGTCTCCCACACAGGTGCAGGAACCCAAACACTTGGGCCATCTTCTACTGCTTTCCCAGGCTATAGCAGAGAGCTAGATCAGAAGAGGAGCAGCTGGGACTCAAACCAGCATCCATATGGTATGCTGGCACTGCAGGCGGAGGCTTAGCCCACTATGCCACAGCGCAGGCCCATTAAGGTCAATTTTATGGAGTCTTTTCTGAAGGAGTCCATTCATAGCTCTCTTCCATCTTTTCTCTACAGCTGATAATGATCTCTGGATTTGAGGTGCAGAAAATGCCCTGTCTCTACTGTGACACAGGTGGGGACTTGGCACTGGAAGCCCCCACCCTTGTAAAACAATGCCACAGGAGCCTCCAGCTTCACGCTGGGCCCTCCCACTCTTCTGCTACTTCTGTTTGATGGTTTTCCAAGTGGCCTGTGCCAAAAAGATGGTCCTTGTCTTGTCATGGATGAGGTTGCTCCCGTGTCAACTCATGGAAGATGTGGGTCACTGTACCAGTTAGTGTGGGCCTCACACACTGGCCTGGCCTGGCCACAGACAGAACTCCCTGGGAGGCGGGGGGTCTCCTTTCAGGACTTGTAACCATTGGAGGTTCTGACTCAAGGTGGCTCAGATTGTGGTGGGCAGAGGCAGAGGCCGGGGTGGGGGTGTCTTCCATCCACTAGTTCACTCCCTAGATGGCCGCAACAGCCGGAGCTGTGCCAATCCAAAGCCAGGAGCCAGGAGCTTCTTCCAGGTCTCCCACACAGGTGCAGGGGCCCAAGCACTTGGGCCATCTTCCACAGCTTTCCCAGGCCATAGTAGAGAGCTGGATCGGAAGTGGAGCAGCCAGGACTTGAACCGGCCCCCATATGGGATGCCAGTACTGCAGGTGGCAGCTTTACCTGCTATGCCACAGCGCCAGCCCCAGCAGCACACAGTTTTTTGATACTCAGTTTGTTCTGGTTTTTTCTTGCTGTAAAATGGAAGTAATGGGGCCGGTGCTGTGGCGTAGTGGGTAAAGCCACTGCCTGCAGTGCCGGCATCCCATATGGGCACCAGTTCGAGTCCCGGCTGCTCCACTTCCAATCCAGCTCTCTGCTATGGCCTGGGAAATCAGTGGAAGATGACCCAAGTGCTTGGGCCTCTACACCCATGTGGGAGACCTGGAAGAAGCTCCTGGCTCCTGGCTTCAGATTGGCACAGCTCTGGCCATTACAACCAATTGGGGAATGAACCAGCGGATGGAAGACTTCTCTCTCACTCTCTCTGCCTCTCCTTCTCTCTATGTAACTCTGACTTCCAAATAAAATAAATAATGTAAAAAAATAAAAAGAAGTGGAAGTAATGCCATCCAAAACTGTTTTAAGGTGAAAGTGGAACCAGAAAGCTGAAACCTTCTTTTTTTAAAGTATTTATTTATTTGAAAGGCAGAGTTACAGAGAGAGAAGGAAAGACAGAAGGAGAGAGATAGATCTTCCATCACTGGTTCACAGCAGCCACAGTTGAGCCAGGCCAAAACCAGGAGTCAGGAGCTTCATCTGGGTCTCCCATGTGGCTGGCAGGGGCCCAACTTCCACTGCTTTCCCAGGCACATTAACAGAGAGCTGAGTGGGAAGTGGAGACAGCCAGTGCTCGTATGGGATGCTGGCATCTAAGGTGGCGTCTTAACCTGCTACACCACCACCACCACGGCCCCGTACTGGACTCTTCTGTCTGAGCTGCTTCCTCTGCTCTCCTGGCTACCTAGAATACCTCTTGAGATCATGCTCTTGGCCACCCTACCACCACTGCCCTCTCTCAGTAATCCCACTTTTGCTCCTAAGTTACTGTTTCTGTGTCCTTCTAACACAGCATCATTGTTCTACAGCCACCGGAGGGCTGTGTGGTCTTGAGGATCACCTTGGGGGTGACCAGGTGACTGTGACTATGGCCTTTCCTGGAGGTGATCTCATCTAGTCCTTTGACAAAGTCAGGCACCCAGAGGTGACCCATAGCGGTCAAGAGAGATCTGGGTCTCATGGAGGTCCCGCCGGGATACTGCTGGATCAGCTCATGGACTTGGCTGGACTCTAAGATAGTTACTTGCCCATCAGCCTACTATTGGCCTTGTCCCAAAAAAACACCGTCCCCTGAGTGTCTCTGGGACAATCTTTGGCTCAAAGTTAGAGGTTTGATCCATGTTTTGTTCCCCTCCTAAGGGTTCTCTTCCAGAGCCATCAGCAGAACACAGCCATTGCAGGGATTCTCGGTGATGGCTGCACCCACTTGAACTAGAAATGGTTCCCAGAGCACCACTAGCCTAGTCTAACCCTGGTTTCTAGCTTTCTTATTGCATTCTGCCTGAACAACACTGAAAAAATACCAGACCTAATGCGTTTCCCAATGTAATGCCTGTGGGATGGAATTTGATGGGTGTATTTCCATAAATGCTGACCTAAAACAAATACCTCATGTAGGCAGAACCAAGCTCTCAAACTGTTCCTTTTGGCATCCAAGAGTACGTGGCCCTACCAAGCTACTTAGATCTTTGAACACATTTAGAAGACCCATGAAGTTTCTAGGATTTTTTTCTACAAGGAACCATATCATAAAATTTATTTATGTGACTTGATATTATAATTTCTGCCAGCATATTCATAACATATTAATTATAATTAGTATAATAGCTTCTATTATGGTAATCATGATAATTACCATAATAGTAATAGGTAAAATTACTATGTAAGCATATAAAATATATATGTGAGTTACTGTTATTATAGCCATGACAAGTGCCTTTGGTACATTAGCTCGGTTACCCTGGGAGGTAATTATTTTTTATCCCTTTTGTGAAATACAGTTCAGGGAGATTCAGCAACTTGGCCAGAGTCATATAGCTAATTAGTTGCAGAGAGAAGGCTGGAATCCAACCTCATGAGTCCTTTGCTCTCGTGTAAAGGACAAGCTCCCTAAATATGCCAAACTCTGGTTTCCTTCTTTGCAAAATGCAGACACCTAAGATAGGGACCCGTCTTGCAGAGCTGCAATCCTGAAACGTTGCCTATGAGAATGTCCCTCACGACGACTGGTACATCGTGAGTGTGCAGTGCCATTAGCTGACTCTGACTGTATTCAGGAGACAATTTGTCTATAACATTTATGCAAACTCAATCCTATCCTGTAAAATTGGTTTGCTAATAAAAGGATCCTTCTCTAAATACCTTTATGAAACTAAACCAAATACTGAGCCATTGAGCTACATTCTCCCTGTTAGGAGACTTTGACCAATTGGGTTTCTTTCTTTCTTTTTTCAAGAGCACTGCTCCTGTTTATTGTTCTCTTTAAGTTTTAAAGATGGGGACTGATGGGGGTGGGGAGAGGGACCATTCATCCACTTGTCCCATCAGAGACTTTGCAATATTAACCATAGTTATCTAAAATTCCTAGTTTGATAATTCCAGTATCTCTGCCATAAATGAGACTGGTTCTCATGCTTGCATCTTCTCTTCAGATTAATTTTTCTTCACTTAGCAGACCTTGCAAGGTTTAGCTGGAAGGCAGACCTGATGTACTGGGAAGTAGGAATTGGGATAAACACTTCTGTCATACACTTCTGTTCTGCCACGTGCTTTATCTGAGGATGGGCTGATTTTTGTGAATGTAGTGATAGGAACTGAGGCAGCATGGGCATTGGAAGACCGTAATCATTCATCTAACCACAGTGACCTTCAGTTTCCTGATATTTAAAATGATGGCATGTTAAAAATAGGAAGCGTTTCTGGTTCCAGTTCCAACATGTAGAAGTCTTGGATGGCATCATTTCCATTTCACAGCAAGAAAAATCCTGAACAAACTGAGTATCAGTTGTTTTTCTTGGGCCTACCAGAGAATTCAGGTCACAGGGAAAATTGCCACCTCGAAACCTGTGGAGACAGGTGAATGTAGGGAATCCCAGCCAAGATCTGCCTCTTGGGAGCGGGAGCTGCCAGAGCCATGGGCTGCTAGGAGCTTGGAAGAACTGTTGGAAACAACATCAACTAATGTGAGGCCAAGAAACTCCTAGGGGGCCTCAGTCCTATGGGTGCCCCACATTTTCCTAGGATTTGCTGCCAGGAACCCCAGCATGGTGAAGAACCAAGA